ACCTGAAATCAGCATTTTGTCCTGTTTAAATGAGTTGACTGTGTGCTGTTCACTTCATTAATTTGGGATTTCAACCTGTACCTGGACTTCAGTTCTAAGAAGTGAAGTAAGTTGAGGCCAGTGTAGAAGCACATTTCTTGCTTTGAAGCTTTCCTGATTAAATGTAAAAGTTTATTTCCACTTAAACACTACAAAACTATACTTAAAATTACTTTACTAATGATTACAGCAATTACATTTTTCAGAAATGCAAATGAAATCTAGGTTGTTTTGTGCCTTTTTAAATGCTTCTGGGTGCAGCATGTCTCTAGCAGGATAAGATGGCCTCCAAGAAGGGAGGCTTGGCCTCGGTAAGGATTCCTGAAGCCACTGCTGGTAAAAGTCAAAGCAGATGAAATTATAAACCATACTGAAGCCACGACAGAATGTTATTTAAGCTAAGATTTTGCCAACTTTTCCTTAGCTGTAGCAGAACTTTAACAATCGGTCTCCCCAGGAGCCATAGATACACACACACGCATTATCCATAATGGCACCTGAGATCTTTTCTTCAATGGAGCTGCATAAGCAATGTGAAGCTACGTTTATATTGCTACACCTTGCAAAGTGAAGCCAGGAAAGAAGGGTGACTCTCACCTAGAAACTGGAATTAAAGGCGCAGCTGCTGGCCTGCAGCACGCCTGTTCAGCCCAGCGTACCCAATGGAAGGTCCACCTCTCTTGGCTGGCTCGAGCAGAGCCGAACCCTTCCTCACCATTTCCATTTTCCGAAGTAGCAGAGTGCTCTCACATCGTTAAAATGATTCGGACTTGTGCTGCCCGGGGAAAAGGGGATCTCTCTCTGCCAAAATTTGATGTCCCTGGAAATGACAACATCAACTGGGAAAGTCAATGAATAAAGAACAGAAGAATCTTCCTCATAACTGGTCTTGTTGCCTTAAGCAGCAAAAGCATTTCTGTCTTTTTCACCACAAAGGTTTTCCACCAGCAAATATTTTAATATCTTTAATTAAAAGTGCCATTTCTGGAGAAGATTTAAAACAGTAACACAGCAGTAAGAAAGCATCATACAAACCAACACTGAACAGAGAAGAAGGTTTCAAAAATAAATCTTCTATAGACTGTCCAGTGCAATGTAAAAAAATTCGCCATTACACACATATATTATAAAATGACATTTATCCTTCCTCAGCTGCAAAAATTGATTTACCTGTCGTTATTTGTGAATTCTTTTCAGGTGCTAAGGGCAATACAAAGGGATCATTCTGCCCATGAGTTTGGCAGCCGCTGATTTTACCCAGTGCCTGCTGTCTCTGGAGATCCACACCTGCCCCATCACTGAGTGAGAATCCAGCACTGAACACGTTATCGATGGAAGCTGTACACAGAATTATTAGCAAACACATTTCTGCATGTAAATGTGCATTTACAGAAACGTCACTTCCAAAGTCGGGTGGCTAATTTAGGCATTGACAAGTCACATGTTACAGCATCTGGGAACCAAAACTGAGATGCATGAAATACATACATTAGGGAGCGCCTGAGGATCATTTTTCTCAGTTCAAACAACACTCTTGCGAGTTCCTCAGTGAGCACCTCAGACAGACACCTGAAAGTACAGCTGATACTGGAATCTATTTAATAAAATATAAAAATTCTACCATAAACTAACGTTAAGATTGCCTGCGCAGCCACCGTTAGTCATGCCAAAAAATCTGCACTCTGGTGAATTTTAGCAGTATTTTCTCTAATAATCAGCACATACTGCTTTTCCTACAAAGTCACCATTCAACATTGGCCTAAAACAAAATGTAGGCAGAAGCATACAGGTTTTTACATACATAAAAAGCAGCAAAGGGTAAAATTGCTATTCGCTCTTAAATTCTGTACTTCTTCAGCCACGTGCCTATTTGTGCAGCATTAACATTGCAGTAACAGCTTTTGCATATTCATTTTTCTTGAAACAATAGTCCTAAACTTTGCAATAACAAAGGTATTGACGTATCAAGATGACTAGAACTCATCTTTAATATCCTCCATTACTGGAATTCTGTTACACTAAAAATAAACCTTTGGCAACACCAAATCCTTTCATATACCCCCGCTGCCAACTTTGTTGTTAATTTGAAAAAGCTGACAATTCAGATCAAGCATACTATTTGGGCACTTCAGTGGAATTCTTCTTTTTTTATTTTTTTTTAATTCCAAAATGCATTCAGTATTTAAATTAAGAGCAGATTTCTTAAATTTTCAGTATGGCAAACAGGAAAAAAAAATCCAGTTCCTCCCAGGAAAACCCAACATACAGAGAGCTCCCCTCCAAAAAATTCTTTTGAGTCGCAGAGACCCGCAGCCCGTTTCGTCCGCACCCGAGCCCTCCCTCCGGGCAGCTCTCCAGAGTCTCCCTGGTACTCCAAAATGCTCCGGAATGGCATTTGCAGTGCAAACAAATGTCAGCACTTAGATTATTGTAAATTATTTACAGTAAACGCATATAAGACTGTAGGGCATTTTAAGGCCTTGTTAAGATCGCAGTAATTGTTCCCAGAAGCTGAATTATGGGAGCACTTACTGCTTAGAGGCAAAGCCAGGAAAAATACCACAGCCTGAAATGTGGAAGACAACTTGCTCTCACTTTACTAAGGAATTCCCCGTCGAGCAGAGTGCAAACCTGGAATGATTTTACCACAAGAAAAAAGGTCAAGTACACTGTAGACTACGTAGCAAAAATATGATGTTTAATGATGAAAACATTAAATGTGCTTGTTACTACGTCTCACACCAAGATCAGTACTACAGATATGTTACCTAGGGACGATCCCCGAACAAAGGAAAGATTTACCCCAAACCTCCTCAGCATCTTGGTCTGTTGGACGGCACAGCAATGGTCATCAGAACCCAGAGCTTGCAAAACCTTGACTGAGACAGCAAGAACTATGTTGCTTTCACAAGGAAAAAGCATTGCCATCCAATTTTTGTAACTACACAATGGCCTGTCAACAAATGACATGCTGTCTTCAGACATATTTATATATTCTAAAAATATTGTGTAGGCAATTTCAAAATTCAACATTTCAAAATCTGTTTTCCAACTGCTAGTCTGAATACAATCATTGATGTAAACCAGCAAATAATTAAGCCGATATTTATGTAAAAAAAAATCCAAATTTACAGTTACTTGAATTTTTCAGAGAAGGTTTGAATCTCTTTTTAAATTTTAATTATCTGTCCTTCTTGAAAAATATTTCAACAGCTCATCATCATTTTAACCATCTCATTTACGATGAGAAAAAGCCACTAGAAAAAGATCAGAACAATCTGTCTTATTCGTAATCATATCAGTATATTCATAAATGAATAAAACAGTTTAGAATTCTTCAACCTTGCTAGGTCAAATCCTTAGCTGTGCTGGAGTATCTTAGGTTGTCAGAGGAAGTTTATGAAAATGGTGGGGAGTTGGAAGAAACAACTGGGCAAAAGGAGCAGCCAAAATTTGTTGGGATTTTGGATCACACAAAACCATCCCGAGACATCACATAACATCAGTACCTGCTGGCCTCTACGATCAGGGCGTTGGCAGTGCAAAGAACATAGGTGTTAACGAAGGGACCTGTGCAGACACTGTACATCTGACCTTTTATGGACCATGTTTAGGCCAGCCTAGAAGAGCTTGATCTGTTGGAGCCCTGGAAAGCACAGTCCTGCGCTAGAAGGGGCGAGAGTTCACGCAAGCAGCTTGTTTATGCTGGGCTGCGTCACGAGGTTTACAAAGGAAAACAAAGAAGGTTTTAGTATATCCAACTGTAATCTGAACTCCATTATCTGTCAAATTTGCAGCTGCTCATCTAACTGATGCACGGTCATCTAAAAAATAAAGAGTCAAATACTCAAACTACGCAAATACACCACATTGAACCCTCCAATATTGTAATGAAAAATGGAATCTTGGCCCAAACTTTTCAAACAAGGGCGGCAAATCTACATGACAAAGATGTCCAGAGGTCTGGGATACCCAACAGTGCTGACTTATGAGTTGAAGATTCATCAAGGACAATAACATTTCTTGGAGAAACTTCTGCAAATCAAGAGAGAACACAGTAGACTTCTCTCCTTATTTATACCAAGCGCCACTTAGAATTTTTATGATGACGGAGCTGCTTGCCCAGAGCTGCAATTGCAAGGTCATGCTATTACCACCAATTTGAACAATATCACAAAGACAAAATTCAGGTGAGGTGAACAGCTGAGGTGAGACTCTACTGCAAGAAAATAATCCCTTTGTGAGGGGCAGGGGAAAGAATTCTGATTTAGGTGCTCAAACAGTTCATTATTTTTTGACAGAAATTCTCATAATTTCATGCTGTTTTAAAATCTGAGTGTGAGACAAAATTTTACAGAGAAGATAGATATAAAGTATTATTTTGTATTATTTCCAGTAGAAATGATAGCTCTGATCAAAACAGAAAAAAAAATCCTCTCATATATGTTTTCTATGAAAACCATAACTAAAGATAAGCTTAAATACACCTTTTGATCAAGACAAGAAACTCTGTGTTATTTATGCACAATGAAACACAGCTTAAAACCAGCTTCCATTGAGATACCTGTTGGCACATCATCCACCGAAAGTTCCTTTTTATCTCACCTGGGCAAGGGATTGTCAACAGACACTTTTCTCTGTTCAAAAAACCCGCCAAGCATATGTGCACTTTCACCATAAAATAGTGAAATACAGTAATGTGAGTTCACCCCACCGCCGAGTCAGCCAGTGGGTGCTGCAGGTTTTTTTAAATACTGCAGGCTATACGGAGTATCTTCGCTAAAACAGCCAAGGACTTCGTGATGTACACTTGTCTTTCCGCTGTCCCCTTACAGTTTAGGTAATTAAGAAGCGTCAGTCACTTCTCCTTGCACGTACCAAAACAATCCTCTTTCTTACAGTTTCTTACAGCTCCCGGAAAGGCGGGCCCTCTCCAGCCGATACAACAGGAGGGTGCAGCATCACGACAACGCCAGCATCACGACTGACGCAAGCACCGCAACGTTGACTGTCCGCCTGCTGCCATCCGACGTTCTCCGGGCATGCAAGACAGCAAATACTGCGTTTGTGTCATTGGTTGGTATTTCCACGTTGCAAATCATGCCTTCGCAGCAAGAAACACACTCCTGTCGAGAAAAAAAGAGATTGCCAGACACAGGGTAATTCAGCAGGGGCTTTTAGAGACATATGTGTTTTTCAACTGACTGTAAAGGTTACAGCTAAACATACAGAGCATATATGCTACAACTTCTCTTCCAAATCAGGCACCACAGCCTTCCCAGAGTAACTCGTCACCTAGTGCTGTCACCGGGCTTGGAAACTGCGATGGGACGCAGTACAGCCCTGCCAGCTGTACTGACAAGTTCACTAACATAACAAAACAGAGAGAGCTTTCCACCACTTTCCCCTTCTAACACATCTGTTTGAAAGTTTCAAGTTTCAGCTTTTAAGCTAAAAAGTTCTGACAGTAAAAACTCTGTTCCCATTCATTTTTCCCCTCCAGCTTTTGTATTCAGTGTAGCTTTGCATGCTGAACTTCCGACTTTCTTTTTTCAGTTTTCTAGTGCCACAGAACCACTGACACAGCTGATTTTCAGGAGGGAATCTGAAAATAATTTTCCTTACTTCACACTCTTTACTAGAAAAGCCAAGAGAATGCCAATTTTTATCTAATCCAGAGGCACGAGAACTCTTCTAAGACAAAACGCAGCAGAAGGCAGGCTGCACAGTCACTTCAGGGACCTTAGAAATGCTTATAAATATCTGCAGGGTGGGTGTCAGGAGGATGGGGCCAGACTCTTTCCAGTGGTGCCCAGCGACAGGACAAGGGGCAACGGGCACAAACTGAAGCAGAGGAAGCTCCAGCTGAACCCGAGGAAGAACTTCTTCCCTCTGAGGGTGACGGAGCCCTGGCCCAGGCTGCCCAGGGAGGCTGTGGAGTCTCCTTCTCTGGAGATATTCCAGCCCCACCTGGCCGCGGTGCTGTGCAGCCTGCTCTGGGTGCCCCTGCTTGGGCAGGGGGTTGGGCTGGGTGACCCACAGAGGGCCCTGCCAACCCCGACCATGCTGGGATTCTGTGATTCTGTGATTCATGCCCTCAGTCCACCAAAGCCTTTTGAAATCAATGGAAGTCAATTCAGACAACATACAGGTCCTTTTATATTTAATGTGGATGTTGTCTGCTTCATTTTTGGTGTCTGAAATCTTTCATGTTAAAATAACCTAGCTAACCTTCTCAACTGTTAAGGAATTAGTCGATAATACTTTGCTGCAGTGAATAATACTTTGGTGGGATATGCCTGATTATTAAGAACAAACTTCTCTCATCCTCGGGATGCTAAGTAGAAGGCAGCAGCTCTAGCTTTTTGTCCTGGAACAAAATCTCCATTGTACCTTGCTTAAGAGTATGGCCTTTGTGGACAAATACAGCCTTATGTTGTGTGCTGTGCAGTGGTACGCAGCTACGCTATGCGGAGACACGGTGGGAGTACCCAGCTCGCCCAAGGGCTGACAGCGACACAGCACCGGTGCGGGTTGCAGCGCCTGCATGGGCACCTTACTCAGAACTCAGAAACCACAGCCCCAGTGCGCACTGGGGACACACGAGCAACACCCCAGCAAGCTCAGGTGTTTCTTTACAAGTTGTTGTTACACCCCATCACACAGCAGCACAAATAGGAAAGCAGGAGTAGTCATGTGGCTGTTGCAGAAATCTGATTTCTGTTGTTAGATACCAGAGAGTGTATCTTGGGCCACCCTCCTCAGCTCGGCAGGAAAAACCAGTATGGAAAGGCAAACCTCGGAAGCCACGTGCAGCCCTGGTACAAAGAGGAGTGCTTACTGTGTGGCCACTTTCTCGGTGGCGGTGGCAGCCCACCAAATGGCATTCTTCTCCAGTAGCACATTTTTTGGTGACTGATGTGCTCTTCCCATGGTCTGTGAAGAGATGGACTGTCAAACAGTACTGAGTACCTACAAAATAAATTTTTAAAAGTTTATTTGCATAAAGTACGCATTCTTTTATAGGGTTTGAAAACTTCAAACAATTTAGCAAAATATTGCCATAAAAATGACTTTTTTTGGCTGTATAAAGCCATTTCTCAACTTGATCAAAATACCATTTAGCAAGAAATTAATTAGTGATGAAATCTTAGAGCTTAACTGACCCTCCAAGCCTCCAGAAAGGCTGCTATCATTGAAACTACTTATTAGCACTATCATCTACACATTTATCTGCCACTCCCTACCCTTTTCTGCAGCACATTCTTGCTTTCTTTGTTTCCGACCTGTTTCCTCATTCCCCTACTTCATTTTTTCCCCTTTCCCACTGTTACTGCGAATAAAAAAATGGGGAAACATATTTCCATTCTTTTCTATCTTCTATCTATCTACCATTCTCTCAGACAAGTACAATCCCTAGCCATTCAGGTCTTGTGGTTCCAAGGCAAGCCTATAGCCCAGAGATACCGTTATATCTTGGAATCGTATCCAAAAGCAAGGGACTAAGGCTACAAAGGCAGTTCTTAAGATTTTTTTAAACATCTTTAAAATTAATTCCTAGGAAGTACATAGCTACATATACACACACACAGAAAATTAATTAATATATTATTGATATATTAATAATCGCAGAATCACAGCATGGTCGGGGTTGGAAGGGACCTCTGTGGGTCCCCCAGCCCACCCCCCTGCCGAAGCAGGGT